TCGTTTTAAAAAGACTATTTTTAATCCCTTACCTGAGTCTTCACTTTATTGTAAATGGCGCCAGAATACTTTAGAGAGAAGATACAGCAACCTTTTTTATAAATCTGTATAGGGTCAATGTATTTATCTCTTTATTCATCTGTTCACCATGGAAACGCAGATAGAACAATGAATCATTGTTCATATCTCCTTATTATGATGAAATATAATATATAAAATGTGTAAGATGATTGTTTTAGGAATTGTTATTTCTTATAATTTATTTCCGTTTAATGATGTCATCGAAGGCACATGAAAATATGCAAAGATAATTCTGTAGAGACAGCAACATTTTTTAAAAATCTGTACAGGGTCATCAATGTATTTTACTCTATCCCAAGTGTTTCGGGATCCATCCACCTGCATCACCATAAAAATGCAGTTAGAACAATAAATCGCAATTATTATCATGAATCGCATTCACATGTTTATAATAAAATATAATACATAAAGCATATGAAACGATTGTTTTAGGAATTATTATTTTTGAATTTGTTACTGTTTAATGATGTCATCGAAGGCACATGAAGATGTGCGAAGATTACTCGAAAATATAAGTAGAAATATGTAAATGCGTGCGACATAAATCTGCGTGTATGGGATCTCAACACTTATAAGGGAAAAAAAGAAAGAGACAGAGAGAGAGAGAGAGAGGTGAGAAAGAAGAGAGAGAGAGAGAGGAGAGAGAGAGAGAGAGAGAGAGAGAGAGAGAGAAAGAATGGAAGAGGAGGGTCCATGCCCATGGGCTGGTACCCACTCGACTGGAGGTGGCACAAGGAGGTGGGACTCTTCGTCTCGTTCTCCACTTTCAGTAGCAAGGCAGTAACACTCGACCGCTCTGAGAGCCAGGTTGTCTGGTCACCGCTCGACCGCGTATTAGGTGCATGCGTGTGTACGTATTGTACATACGTAGTGCCACCTGCGGAATTATGAGCGCGGAAATCGCGGTGCAAGGGTTGGTGAAGGGATAATATCTTTGTTGTGCTGTTGTTTACGTACAACACGGCTCACACGTGTCAGTGCGCAACTGACAGGAAGATCTGAAGCTATACGAAGAGCTAATGATGATAATCACGGTAATGCGACAATATGATCGCAATGTGATTACAGTCATCTCCCTGTCGATGGGTCAGCAGCTGACAATATTTTAATTTAGACACGTGCGCGCGTACATTGTTTTATGGTGTCATGTGTGAGTGCTGTCTCAGATCATTTGCACCGGTTATTATTCCGGCCGTCGTTCCGAAGATACCTCTGAAGGTACCAGGTACAAGGACCAGTCATGTGACTGCGCACGCATCATATACGCACCATTTTCACAGAACACTCTGGAATTTTCATTTTATACATGTTTCCGTGTAGTGCCACGTCCGAAGATCGGAAATTTCCAACGATCCTGGATCTCGGATCTTAAATCTGTCGTTGACGCTTGGTCTCTTAAAATTAACTGTAACTATGATTCATTACATTATTACGTATAAATAATAGGACCGGTGTTAAAAAATTATTAATCTTTAATTAAAAAGTGAAAAATCAAGCAAAATAAATAAAAATCTAAATAAAAAATCAAGATTGTGTAGTAATTATTGAGTTAAACAATACGCATGCAAAAACATTTTATATTTTTTTGTATCTTTATTTTGCAATTCCAGTGAGAGAAAAGGGTAGACTTTTTTAGACTCCTTCGCTCGACGGGCAAAACTTTCTAGTTACAGTACTCACGTTCAAGTATAGTTACATTCAAGTATAGTTTTTTGGAATTTATTCCGAATTTGGTATCATCTTCGCCGTTGGCTATTTGACTTTGTCGTCGATGTTCTCATTATTTCCGCGTCTTAATCATCTTACAATTAATATGCTTGCCGTCGATTGAATCTTCGACGATGCCATTCAGGTTTTCGCAGGACTTTAATTCCTAATCGACATACATTCCACACTGAAGATTTAATTGCGAAGAAAGGAAAGAAAAGGACGCCATTGTGTGTAAAAATATAGAAGAAAGTCTCAAATATCACAGGTATTTCTTTTAGCACGGTTAAATCCTTTCAATTCTTCATAGATTTAAATAAATGGGCAAATCTAGTAGAGATTTGTGTGATTTTCTTGCGCGGTATTGAGAATTGAAACTGTCTAAAGATCGGTTCGGTAGGAAAAGATATTTATTTTTATATTCATTATAAAGCAATGCATAAAAAATTGGTCCTTAAAATTAAATGGATATTTAAATGATTTTATTATAAATTAACGTATAAGACGGGCAACAAGAGCCAATCGCGGATGACAATGCGTTATCCTAACGAAACTAAATAATTTTTCGTTAGAATTAAAATACCGTGCACAAGGCACCAAATTTTTACTTGGACACGGCCAAGATTTTAAATATGAAATAATCTCATTTTGAGATTTAATTTCAATACCCCTTTATACGGAAAATAAATAAATGAATGCAAGAAAAATATAATCCGAAAATCGCTGAATCGGGATTTTATTATATTCATAATCCTATATATTCAAAAAAGAGAGAAAAATTACATTGAAGCTACAGTAAAATCTAAAAGAATCAAGTCGATTTTCTTGCGCGGTATTTGAGAATTGAAACTGTCTAAAGATCGGTTAGGTGAAAAAAGATATTTATTTTTATATATTATTATAAAGCAATGCATAAAAAAATTGGTCCTTAAAATTAAATGGATATTCCCATGACATAAATAATTTTATTATATTCATAATCCTATATATTCAAAAAAGAGAGAAAAATTACATTGAAGCTACAGCAAAATCTAAAAGAATCAAGTCGAGAGTAAGCGTATATATGATTTTTTTTGTGACGTGAATGGTAATGAGGTGTAATTTACATGCTGTTTATTCTTAGTAACATATTGTGCGTAAGGTACCACTTTATTTTTTATAAATATCGGAGAAGCGGCATATGTGTGTGCGCGAGGAATATGCAACAGAGCATTTTTATTTTCTGCCTTACAACTTTACACAAGTTTAATTTTATTAATAATAACGTGCAATTCTATTCTACATAATACGGTAAACAAATCGTCGTACATACAAAAAAATTGTATTTGAAAATTTGAAACAGTTGTAATACGTAATCGTATATAAATACCATTTGCATGCTTAATTTTGTACATTGAGACCAACTATTTTATATATTTTTTACGTTGTAACCGATAATCATGAAAACCCAGTTTTTCTTTAAAAAAATTGTTCTGAAGAAAATTTTCAAGCAATTGCGATTGATAAAATGTGGTACCATAATTGTGTCCGATTTTGAACGAACGTTACTTATAAATCTCTTTAATTTCTTATATAAATATCCTAAGCATAAATGAAAAAAATATTAAAAGTAAAAAATTAAAATTTCTTCTCGCAGTCGCCACGTAACCATATGATATATCTTCGACTAAATATAACGTATCCCTAAATGATGAAACTAACTTGCTCGCGCGCTATAATATATACGTAAAATAAATAATAATCGCGATTAAAAATACTCGCAAGATTTTCGCGCAAATCGTACATTAATCAACAGTCGTGGTTGTAAAATAATTGAGAAAAATCATGGGGTCTCTCGAATGCGAACGCGGCGAACTTTTCGCGGTCGTTGATATCCCGAGGAACCGCGCGGCGATTCCGGCGGATATCATCTACGGGGAGGGTTAGGTCGCGCGCGCCGAACCCGCGGTGGTGAAAAGGGGTGAGGGGGCGACGAGTTAGGGCAACAAGAAGCGGCGCGTCTTGCATCGGAACAAGCGGCTCTCCCCAAAGTAGAAAGCAAGGAAAGGGGTAGTTCGCGGTCCGCGAGCGTTGGTTGGAGCGGCGCGGGACAAGCGTCGGGGGTGGCGAGGGCGAGAGCGAGAAAGGGGTGGCAAAGAGAGAGAGAGAGAGAGAAACGAACGAACCGGCTCGTACGCGCGCGAGAATGGGGAGAGCGTAGTGACGGCGGAGAAACCGAAGGGAGAGTAGGGAAAGGAAGGAGGATTGGAGATCGCGCACATGTGCGAGAGAGCGAGACGGAGCGCAAGAGGGAAGAAAGAGAGAGAGAGAGACGCGCCGAGACCGCTTGAGAAACGAAGAGATTGGGGAGGGGGAGCATGTGAGGTTTAAGGAGCGAGAGGGGTGGAAATCTTAGGAGGGGCGCCTAACGTCACGGCGCATTCACTCACCGGCCGTCGCCGACGCCGCTCTGTGTGCCGCACACGCAACCCGCACGACACGGTCAGTTCTCTCTCAGCCACCCCCTCGCGCGACACACACGCGTGCTCCTCTCTCACATCCGGTGCAAGTCTCTCTCTCTCTCTCTCTCGTTTGCCGCGAGAGACACGACTCTCTCCTCCGGCACATCTCAACCCTCTCCGTTGTGTGAATTCCCTCCGGTGTCCCACAAGCGACTTCGTGAAAGCCAGTGTTTACCCGGCCGCGCGCGGTGTTTACCAGAGATACACGCGACGAGAAATAGCGCGGGATACCCATCTCGTTTACAAGTGCTCGCGATTGTTTTGGTGCGGTGTTTCCCGCGTAATGTAACGAGTTATATTACGCACGCGTTGTGTGCGTTTACATATGTGCCGAAATATAATTTTGGAAAAATCTCGGACGCATATGAACCGGCCACCGCCGGTAGTTTTTCTTCGTGCGCTTTGGTGATATCTCCCTTATCGCGGCCTGCACGGTGGGTGACAGTGAGGAATCAGCTGATCGCTTTAGGAGCGCTTACCCTTACCTGGTTCTCCGCTAGATTTTCCCTCTCTTTTTCCCATCGTCATTTTTTTTATTTTTTACAACGATATTGTGGGTGTTATCGCTGATTGGTGTTTGGCTATGTGGTATTAATTGATTATTATGATTTTTTCGTAATGTGATTTCTCGATATTTTGTTTAATTACAATTAAACAAAATATAGTAACCAAGACAAGTAAGAAAGAAATTTTTTTCTTTGTTTTCCTCGTTTGTTCTTTCCTTTTCATTGATTCGTCCTCCTTTGACACACAATAGAGATGTTTTGCCGTGTTTCTCCGGAGATTCACAGTCTTCCCGCGCAAGATTCTGCGTCGTAAATCGACGCCTTGTGCGTGACTCTTTAGTCGAAAATTTTGTGAAAATGTTTTGAGATTTCGAAGACGAAGATTACAAAGTGAGCTGAGTGCCGATAGCGTTCGATCCTAGTGAGCATTTCCAGATTGTCAGTGGCGCAAGTACAGCGTAGAACACGCGAGCGCGATTGTGCATTCCTCTTGTATCTTTAATATTGAGATTTCATTCTCCCTCGATAAAAGTTCTCTCTAGTAGCAAAAAAAAAGAGAAAAATCTACGAACACGCGAGCTGATGATTTCGATTAATCTCAAGATGATGTCCTGGAAGGACCAGATTTTCGTAGATTTTACTACCTCTACTGGATCGAATGATTCTAATTGGGAAAGAGAGACGAATCCCTCGCATTGATGAAGAGGATTGTGTTCTACACACGAGAAGGAATCGAACTCGTGAGATCCAATCGTAGATCTGTGAGAGAGCTCGATCAGATCACTCAAGCGAGACCGGTGCTTTAACCTTCAACTAGCAGCATCCATTGTTCGGAGATTTGTGTGATGATCATCTCTAAACCTCATTGCATGTCTGGTATTTATGATTGCGAGCTTTACGAATCGATTTTGAATTGACGTCTATAATGCTCTGTATCTGTAAATTTTTTAATTTATTCCAAGTTTTTTTTTCTGTCAAATATAATATATACGAGTTCTAATAAAAAAAAAGAACGGAATTAAAGATGGTTAATATACGTAATAAACTAACAACAGATTTTACGCGGTTATCTAGCGTAGTCAACAAACGTTTGCATGCTTTAATCGAGTGCATATAGAATTTATGTTCCCCGCGATTTGTGTCGATCATATTTTGTCATTTTAGTCGCATATTACATTTTTGTCAGATTCTACAAAAAATAAAACTAACTGATCTTTGATATTAAAACATTACAATAAAATATATTCAAAAATATTCAAAATTATAACTTTATAAAATTGTAAAAGAATCAACATGATGTTTTTGAGTTTAGAGAATATAAAGAGATACAAAAAAATGACTCTGAAGGAAAAGTTTTAAAAATGTTTTACGAAAAAAATGGAAAAGTACAATACTTATTACATATGAATCAATGCTACATATGTATTTTAAAGAACACAACTTATTCTCTAATTTTTATCAGTAACAAAAGTTTCTCTCTCTGACACGTACTTAATTTTCTTCTTGTTTTGCCAAATATTATAGTCGCAAATAATGATTCGCGCCTAGAAATCATAATGATACCATACAGGAAATTATCTTCTTATTATATATCTCCTGGATATCAAAGGTTGAAGGTTGGAGCACGTGCTTTATTTCGTTAATGGAGCAGAAAATTGCATGTATTTTTTATTCTAAAATCTTAACCTTTCATTACTCGTCGTGATTGTTTACGTATCGTTACGTATCGCCATTAATACTCGTCTTTTTCGACATACACATATGTCTGGCGAAGTTTAGTTTGCGATGTATCGTTACTGATTAATAGTTGGCGCGCGACGCGAAAAATAAAAATGGAAGCTGAAGCTCGAGCTTCGAAAAAAGGAGATATAGAGTAGATGTAAATCTGCGCTTTTTCCGAACACGTGCTAGTTCGACAACAAACTTGTGGAGTTTTCGACGGCGCACAGTGACGTATTCCGGTCCGGCGGTTCCCTGGGATACGCTTCAAATCGAGCCAAAAAAAGAGAAAGAGAAAAATGTTCTCCAATCTCCTGATTTGTCATCAAAGTGATCGAGACGCGGCTGCACATTTTAACACCTCTCTTACGCTCTTACGTCGTCGAAGTATGTAAAAGGGTAGTGGGTCGAAAAGCGCGAGTTCGATTATTTGATTTTGTCGCGTGACACACATTGAACTTGTCGTTGTTCTCGTTTGTACTCTGTTACTGTTCGATGTTTTTCTCGCATTCGCCTACCTCGCCTATCTCTTTCACAGGAGCGATTGTTTACAATCGTAAGTGAGCTGTCAGCTAACAGTTAATTATGCGATGCCGAGTAGAGTGCTCCTTTATTAATTGCTTATTTAACGCCGATGACGTTGACAGCGAGTTGGACGCAAACCCGAGTGAAATTCCTCTATTCTAATCGATATATCGATTTTATTTTTCGAGATTTTCTCATCGCGACACACTATCAAGCATATATTTGTTTCACGTAGAATCTTTTTCGAACACAAATTGAGCGAAGGAGGATTCTTCTATTTCGCATGCGGCGCGCTCGTGTTTCTTCCCTCTTCTCCAGCAATTTTATTATTTTTATCGTTATTGAATATATGTTAATATAATTGCATCCGGGGATGATTTATCGAGTGCCTTGTATCTGATTGTTTTTCTTTCGTTTTAACAAGATGCGATTTACAATCACATATGTGCGTGAATGACGTAACGTTGAAGAGCTGCGTGCGTTTGTTCGCTTTGGATCACGTCTACGTATGTGTGCCACCTTTTTTGCATTAAAAAAATTATGTGTTTTAATTATAATATAAACGCATAAACGAATACGCGAACGTTATGTCATTCGTTGCGTTGTTTTGATTTGTGTCAGGTACAGATGACTATAGAGCAACGCGCGGAGGCTTAAGGGTCATTCATTGCATTAGAATTGCGTGCGTCTACCCGTATGTTAAATAGTGTATTTTATTGACGTAGAGAGGGGAAGAAGTGGATGTGCACACGAGCTAATTAAAAATGCATTTGCAATTTCGTTAAGTATAGTTTGCGTTATTGGACATATTATCGACCTAATTTATAAAATTATATCCAGGGTGCGTTAATAAAGAGAATAACGCGCGAAAATCCTGCTTGTAGGTGTAACGTGCATTTCCTCGACGAAGTTTACGAATTGTTGTAATTTAACGGATGATTGATAAAGACGAGTTACTCTCAGATAAGTGTCTTCTAATAACGTCTTCCAATAATTTCAAGGACTGGATGGTAGAATGTCAGTCAATGACGAAAATAAAAAAATACGTACGATATATTTGATTAATCTTTTTAAGAAAGAATCGTAGAGTTTATTTTCGTTGATGCCGTTTCGTTTTGGTTGACACTTCTCGCGTGGGTGTCTCTCTTTCTCTCTCTCTTGATACGATTGATATAACTTTCGAATCCGCAAAGTGATCGCTCATGTGATTTCGCGTGTCAACTCGGAAAATTTCTCTCGGAACAAATTGAATAGTGGCCGACTCCCTAGAAAATTGATCATACGGCCGCCAATCTTTTCCCTTTTCCGCGAGATTATCCCCTTTTATCAGGCGCAAAATTATTCATAGCTAAACAGTCGCTGAAGCGATCCGTCGCTGTTAAATACCGAGAAAGGAAGTGAATCAATGCCCGAAATACGACTCGAGAATAATTATTATCAACGTTCGACCAGATGAATAATTAACGCGAGTGCTGTTCTTGGGAACGTCACGTATCCGATGATTATCTATCCGGATAACAATAATCCCAACTTGCCGCATAACGCAATAATTTACAATCTTTGTAAAATTATTCGCTCCCAATACGAGCATTAACTTTTCTCAAAGATGTGCAGTTTTGTATGAGATTTCAGAAATTTGAATTGGACTTTTGCAGCACACGCATCTTTGCGCGTTTATTCAATCTTTACTTGATCAAATATTTTTACGCAGATATAAAAGATTTTTAAAAGGAAATGTCCTTTTTTTATGACAATTATAAAAGGAAAAAGGAAACGCTCCTAAAATTCTGTTCTTAATTTCGTTGGAATGCTGTTGAATAAATGGAGAAGTGTGATACACAAGTGGAAAATGTGATCCAAGCTGTAAATTGCTGATTTATTCGTACAAAAATTTGATTTGACGCATTTGTAATATCTCAAGAAACAAGGTATTATAAAAATTATCGAATAATTCGACTTGTGAGTGTCGGAACGACCGCACATCGTCATCGTAAATGAACGCGTGTTAACTGGACAAATTTCCAACCAATACATCCGCGTCTCTGAATTATGAAACAAAATGGAGTACCTTCGACATTTCGTGATCCTCATCTTATCTATCAACCTTTTCTATTTCCCCGATCCCTTTCCTTTGGACTCACAATGGGCGTGCTTTTTTCACCGGTCACTTCACATTCTTGGATTTCAGGAGACCGGCAGGGTGCAAAATAGCGAAGCGGGGAAAGAAAAGAGGAAGAAGAACGAGGAGGGAGTTACCTGCGTACGTGCGTGGCCACATACGCGTGCATGGAAGAAGAAGGACCACGCAGGACCACGAAAACACGGCACGTGAGAGACCGGGGCGGAGCAAGGTGGCGGCTCTGTTAAGTCACCAACTTCCGGCGCTAGCGGCGGAAGAATGTCGAGCGTCGGGAATAGTCCTGACAGAATGGGTGTTCAATCCCTCTATTCCTTACGGTGGAACAATCATCAAGCCCACATACAACAGTTCTTCCAAGAACTGCTGCACGAAGAGAATCTGGTCGACGTGACCCTGATTTGTGCCGAGAGTAGCGTTAAGGCACACAAAGTCGTCCTCAGTGCCTGCAGGTAGAAAAAAATTATTCGTATACAAGTATGTGTTTATATTAATTTTTTTATATTATTTCCCTTCCCCCCTCTCTCTCTCTCTCTCTCTCTCTCTCTCTCTCTCTCTCTCTCTCTCTCTCTCTCTCTCTCTCTCTCTCTCTCTCTCTCTCTCTCTCTCTCTCTCTCTCTCTCTCTCTCTCTCTCTCTGCTTTAACACGATTTTTATTTCTAATACAAAATTTTATTTTTAAACATAAATAACTATAGATCATTTCTCTTGCATTTTCTTCTAAACTATGCATTCTTTCAAACTAACAATTGTTCAAAGATTAAAACGAGTAATTTGTGAGTAAATTTGTGAAATTTTTCGTGGCAATATGTTCTTTTGTTTAATATAGTAATACATATTGTAGAAACAATTGCATGTGTGTCTCAACTTATCTGAATATCTCTACAAAAGTCTTATCCCACTATAAGACTGGATAAACTTTCGCATTTCTGATCTTACAAAGCAAATTTTTTAATTATAGTAAAATATTTTTAACAAAGTTATAGAGAGATAGACTTATATTCAAAATGTATTAGCATTACGTTTATATGATAAAAAATATTTTATACATATTTAAATGCGAAATGCACATATGCTTATCTGCTGCAGTAAAAAAATAAAATGTAATAAACGAGTGAAGAAAGACATTTATTTTTAGCAAGAAAATTAAAAATAATGATAACATGTCTTACCTTTTTAGTGAACAAATTGAAGAAAGAAAAAATTTATGGAACGCGCGCGCGTATTACAGTTGTATCAAAATTGAATAGATTTCTTCATTCTTTTAATGGTTAGTAAATTATACTATTTTTAATTCGTTTCCAAATTTTTTCCATTTTTATAGGTAAGTCGGACATGCTATTATACTTATTACTTCACTATATTTTTTGCTTATGCAAAGATTAGTTTTTACAGACGTTTCTCTTATACATTTTTCTCTCTCTCTCTTTCTCTCTCTCCCTCTCTCTCTCTTTCTCTTTATACAGTTTTTATAATAATGATTCTTCATTATAAGCACCCCTTAATATCCCTTTACTATTTTCTCTGATTTAATACTTAATTTAATATATATTAATATGTATATGAACTATTTTTAAATTAAGTAATTTAAATTGATGTGAGAAATTTAACCTTAATGAATGAAAAAAATTAAATAACTTAAATCAATGTTACTGTTTTATTTGTATTCCTAATAGAACAGTAAAATCAATATTGCAACGGCGATTTTTATATTTGATGGGACTTTTATGGTGTTGAAATATAAAAAAGAAAAATTTTTTCACACAACAGATTCTCTCTGACAATGAGACCGACAGTGTGCGCGCGACTCATATCATTACAAGTAAAATATCATTAAAAAAAAGTAATACTATTGCATAGAATAAGAAATATATTGGCTCGACGGCGATGACTTACAGCTTTCTAACTGATTCGCCTTCGCCTCTATATCTCGTGACAATAACTTCCTATATTATTTACTTCTCTGAATACGGTTCCTTGCACATTAATTGAAAACGATCGGTCGAGAGAGTTTTATCGATCTTGACAAAAGTGTACAAGTGTGTCTTACCAAAAAAAAAAAAGTCTGAAACCGAGAGTAGTATTCATGTTTTCGCGCGGGCGAGTCTTTCTCTTATTAGTGAAAAAAATGGTTCCTAGTCGCTCCTTCGTGGTTTACGCGCCGCGTCACCATCTTACACCGCAATGCTCTTTCTCGCTTCGCGCCCGGGACGTGTGACGTAAAGTTGACAACGAGCGAAAGTCTTGTACCATCTGATTGATTCGCTGTCGCTCGATCCGGAGAAGTAAACGCTAATCCTTGCGGTGGCTTTTTGCCCGCGGTTTCTGGCCGACCGTTTCTGTCTTACTGAGCGAGGACACGCAACGTTTCTTCGCCATGCGATGCATGTAAACGTTACAAGTAGCGCGATGCGAAAGTTTCGTGAACGATTGCGCGCCGTAACGTTTAATTAACCGTAAATCGATCTTGTGCAGAGAGAATATAGTTTCTTTGCGCGCGACAAAATGATTCCGCAAAAGTAAAATTTCGAAATATATATCCAAGTGGAATTTTAATCACACGGAGGCTTGATTCTTATATGTTGCAGTCCTTTCTTCCAAAAGATATTCGCGGAGAATCCATGCAAACATCCCGTGATCGTGCTGAAGGATTTTTCGAATCATGAATTGTCCACGCTGATCGACTTTATGTACGGCGGCGAGGTGAAGATCGCCCAGGAGGAGCTGCCGGGTCTGATGAAAGCCGCTGAATGTCTACAAGTGCGCGGTCTATCGTCGTCGGAACCTAGGTTGGTGTCGGAGGAACCCAGGCCGTCGTCATCCTCGTCGACGCTCCTGGAGTTTACCACGCCGGAGGACGCGCGACACGACACTCCGGAGGAGGACGACAACACGTTGGAGAACGCGAGGGAGATCAAGCCCACGCTGTTCCTACAAACGAGGGACCATCCTAAATCGCATATTGGCCATATGAATTACAGTATCCGCGAGAGTTGTAGCTCACCACTGATGCCGCGTCGAAAGCAGGCACGTCCGCGCCGACGTTCCGGAGAACCGCAGGATCTGAGCATACGCTCGAGTCCGCCGGCCAGTTTGAGTCCGTGCTTGCCAAACGTTTTAAATCTCAGTGGTAACCAGCACCAGGCGCAGCAACAACAGTTGCAGCTTCAGCAGTCTCAGTATCCTCAGCAACAAATGATGAATAGGAATGATCAGCAACAACTGATGAATGCTCAACAAAATCAGCAGCATCAGCAAGAGGATATAGCGGAGAATCTCTCGATGAAGAAATCCGTATCGCCGAGCGGACTGGACCAACACCGTGTGAAGACAGAGGGTAGCGAAGCGACGAGCAGTCCGAGGGGTTCGCCGCTTACGGGGACTAGTCTACTGCATCCAGAGGGTTCCATACAAGACATAGCGGCGGCGGTCGCCACCGTGATACCGTCGATATCTCTGTCGCAATCGCATCCTCCCGAGTACCTGACAAGCCTCAATCAGCTAGCGAGCCAATGGCTGCCCGGGCAAAGTCCACTGCCGCCGCCACCTTCGCAGAGTCATCATCCGCGTGAAGACAGTCCTCACGGGTCCGGGAGGTCGCTTCCGTATCAGCAACAGCAGCAACAGGAATCGGCAATAGTGTCACGACGTCCGTCCATGGCGATGTTTCCATTGGACGGCGTCACTCTCGGCGGTGGACTCTTCTCTCACGCCGGCACGTACGACAGAGCACTCGCGGACTCGTTTCTCACGGATAATTTCAAGCAGGAGGCGTTGCAGAACATTTTCGGTGCTCCAAATCTCGCTCCACCTCCCAAGAAAACGAAAAAGCATCGGAGCGAAAGCGACGGAACGCCACGTAGATGGAACGATCACAATAGCCGCGCACTCGCGGTGAACAGGCCGAAGGGGCAGCACAGTGCGCCGCGAGGAGGACCGCCGAGATCGTGGACAAATAACGAACTTACGTTAGCTCTGCAGCATGTCTGGGAGAAGAAGCTTACCACGTCTCAAGCCAGTCGTCTGTTCGGCATTCCCTATAACAGCCTGCTGATGTATGTGCGCGGCAAGTACGGGAAGAGTCTCAAGTTGGAACAACTGCGTAAAAACTGTACCGGCGGCAACACTCCCGAGATTATGAACAACAACAACATCAAGCCCGTCCAGCAATCGGCGCAGATAAGCCATGCGTTCGCCGGCCTGTCGTTGCAACATCCAGGTGACAACAGCTTCGCCCATCGTCCTTTGATCGGCGGCAACATGCCGCAACCGCAGAGCTTCTATCCCGCCGAGTACGCCGCCGCGCCCTATCCCTTGGCGGTGAATATGGTGCATCTGTTACCTCCAAGTGAGCAGAAAACTTTCGAATCGTCCGCGAACTCGAGCGGCGACGGAAGTGGATGTCTAGGCGGTGGTGGAGACGGCAACGGTGGCGGCGATCTGACGAACTCGCAAACCAGCGAAACACCGTCGCCCATAGTCGATCATCATCATCATCAGGAGTCGTCGTCGTCGTCGTCGATGCAGCAGCCCTCGCAGTCGGCGCCCCCGTTGCTGCAGCAGAACGGTTCGGATTAGAATTAAGTAGAGTACCATTTGGATATATGGCTATGGTGTACGAGGTATGTGTTGATGTTTGATGCGACAATTGATTTGTTATATACCTTTGCTCGCGAGGACTGGCGGATGGTCGATTAGCATTTCGGTTACGAATGACGTACGTATACATATTTATATACTGATGCAGAAAAATCCGCGAGTGCGCGCCGCGAGCGCGAATACAATAGATCTTGGACGTAACTTCCCAAGATGTTTTGGCCAAAGTTATCGCGATACGTACTTGCGTATTTGTGAATCTAAAAGATTATATCCATTTTTAATACACTCCCTCATACTCGGAAACGAAGCTGATCGATTCGATAAGTTTGGATGCAACGACATGTCTAGCTAGAATTCGAGAAGTTCATTTATAGACGGGAAAGAAACAGTTTTACGTTTTCTCGCAACCGATTGGGTTAATTAATATCGCGATAATTAATCGAGCGACTCCCTCCGTGAAGCTCCTTATCGCAGGTGTGCGGGGTATATATAGGTTTACACGCGCGTAATTCTCACACTATCCTTCACAAGACTGACTTTTACCAACCGACTCGCAGCTCTCCCGAGGGTGACACCCTCGACGAACATTCGAGCTTTTGCTCGAATCCACGCTTAAGCGGCATTAATTGCTCTCCGCTCTCGTTTCTGTGCTTGACATTGTTTTGGGTTTCGTTTTTTTTTTCTTCGTCGGGCTGGATATACACGTGAGATTTCTGCCGCTGTCAAAATCGCTGTCCTTGATAGCGAAATTCTCGGCGAACGCAGTTTAGAAGCTGAGCGTCCCAACGAGCATCTTGACTCATCTATTCGATAGTTTTACTATCGAATAAATAGTTAAAAGTGACTATCAATCGCACATCTCGTTAAATGATTGCAGAACGAGTTGTCGGAAGTGTATCTTGATAATGAGATTCTCGAGTGTACATCCTCCCTTCGATGTTAAAATGGACGATGTTCATTCGTTCGCGTTCGGATTCAGTCGCAAATTCACCGGACGGTATCGTCTTGCATTATGCGTCGATTTTTTCGAGAAGAACGTCGCGAATCGTTGGACCTTTTCGCGCGAACGAAATGACATCGAGAAATTTTGCCGACGCGATCGAGAAAACTTTCGCATCACTGCTATACGAAATAGTTCCTGCTGCAAAAGCGCATCATATACCAAATAGTATTGCGAACGGTTACGTAAAATATATATATAATGTCTGTGCTGAATGGACTTACGATCATTGTCGATATTAATCCGAGCATCTCAAACGGGAAGTGACGATCATATTCGCGATAGATACTGAAATTGTAGGAGACGAAATTCTTTTTTGTTATGGTAAGACGTATGACGATATTATGTTGGAAAACTCGTTTTAATTTAGCTTTGACTTGAGAGATTGAAATCAATTAAACAGATTTCAATCTTTCTTAATGAACAATGCAATTCTGTTTGATAATATTAAGTCTTTTGATCTTATTCTTGCACTGTGGGGGTTATATATATATATATTGAAATTTTAAAAATACATTATTATTATAAGTTAATTGGTTAAGTTGATTTATTTTTATGAATTCAGTCATAATTATACATATTATATACATATATATACACATATGTCTATACATATTATACATATATGTATATGGCTGAATTACAACAGTGATGATTCGGTGGGCATATTTATATGAGCGTGTAATCAGACTGTTTTGTCTTACTAAAGTAAACTAAATTGTAATGTTTAGTTGAGTATGCAAGTTTTGGCAATGATTTTTCGAGATAGAATTATCCATTGTTGAAAAATTTCGTTCTAAAATTTAAAATTAAAAATATAAGAATATAAGAATTCTAAATTAAAAAAATACATAAAAATATTAAAATATTTCTCATAAAAGAATATAAAAAAATGATTACATTTAATTTTTTGGTAAATTATGATTAATTTAATTTTTGTACATTGGATTTTCTTTTAAATTTAGTGAATGTGTGTTTATTTTCGTTTAATTATATAAATTAGCTTTAGTTATATTAGTTTTTATTTTTTGATTGAAATGCATTGATCATTGATGCACGCTTAAATCGAGCTTTTCAAAAATGTACTCGAATTAAGTAGACGACATTATCGGCACAAGAAAATTGATTGATCACGTCACTTTCACGCGAGTTGTCTGCCAATTTTTTGTCTATTTATTTCTACGAGGAAAAAAAAATGTTGCCGAATTTCCCGTGAACGCGGGCGTGGATTACGCGAAAACAGCAAACTTGCCAAGATTTCCCGTTTGTCAATCCCGAGAGCCTGATCAGCGCTATTGTTCTCGATGCGCATAATTTTTAGGGATTTAATGCGTTCACCCTCTCCCGCCCCTTCCCTTTTTCTTCCCCTGTAACACGTTACGTCTGTAAATAATATTTTTAATTGTTGACTGTTTTTTATTTCGCGTTGACCTACGCGAATCGTTTACGGAAATCGGTGTTTGTGTTTTCCGCGATGTGTGTTACGCGTTTTTAGAAATCTGACGACTCGCAAATGATTGAAAAATCTGTTGAAAAACGACTCGTCGCGAACTGACAGTCTGATGAGGAACGAGGCAAGCACGTGCGATCGCTAATCTTGGCGAAATGCCGGAACGCGAAATGCTTCTTAAAAAAGAAAAAAAAAAAAAAAAATTAAGCATGGCGGTATAATTACTCGATGATACGGACACGGAAGAGAAAAAGTGTTCGCGTGTCCGTAGCACCGAAAGTTGAACTTGCCGAAATTACGCTGGTTCGAATATCCGAAAGCAAGGGAGGAAAGGACGAAAGATATATAGGAAAGATAGAAGAAGAAAGATATATGGAGCAAACACAAATTCTTAATCGTAGACCACAATTTCACAATATTTCGACAACCAGACGGAAGCGCAGGGTAACTAACACATCAGGGATAGCCACAGACAAATCTACGATAGATAAAGAAAATGCTACATATTAAATTGTAAAGATAATGGTAAATTATTAAGTAATGTTATAATAACAATACGATTATTTCGTTAAAGAGATAAAGGAGAAAAGAAATCGAGAAAAGAGAAGAGAAATGAGAAATGATGAGGAATGAAGATATATAAGAATAGGAAAAGATAAGAAGATAGAATCATATGATAGGGTCGATTATGTCACCCTTTATTATCTAGAAAGAAATAAGATAAGATATATTATGAAAAAATAATAATAGTAATAATAAATAATAATAATAAAATAGCAACTTAAGTAGCGCATAAACGACGGAGGGAGCGTATGAAGAGGGTTTGAAATAAAGAAACGGAGAGACCACAGCGTTTTTCGGACCCCGCACCCCCCGGACAACAGCCTGTACAATACAAACTGATATTATTATTGACTATTAATATTATATATTATATATACAGGGTGTTTCAAAAGAGTTTATAACTGCTCCAGCGGGCTGTACTATCGTCGCGCTTAGAATCATTTCTTGTTGCAAATCTCTTTTTTCCGCAATAATATATATTATACATATTATATTATATTATATTGTACATATTATATTATATTATATACTTTTTCCATTTTTCTTTACACGCGAACGGTATACATCGATTCGCATTAAAAGTTTACATTTTTGCACATTAAAAGTGTATCAATTTACATAAACATATGTATAGCTAATGAGATATTTATTCGCAATTGTTCAACAACATATAAGCCTTGAAAAGCACACGACGCATTTCAACGCTTATAATGTCTGTTTGCACTTTGACAAATCATCAATGATAGTATCAAATATATATCTAATTGAATTCGCTAACATCTTTAAATCGATCATTAAATCTAGAACAATGATCGACAGAAATATTTTTTCTCTTTCTCTTGTTTCTTTCAATTTTTGCAATTTTTTTTCAAAAGCGGGTTTATAGTAGCTTTCTTATTTCCATTAGATAATTTTGTTTCAATTTTGATTCAAATCCGAACACCGTGAAACGACGATCGAGAAACAGACGTACAGGATAGTACAGCCACATTGAAAATGGTTTTAACAATTTTTTATCCACTCTGTTGACGAAAGGAGAAATAGAGACATAGGATTACTGTCTTGACTGCATACAGTTACGGCATAAGTTACGGTTTTAGCATACAGTTGAGCAATGACTGCACGTATGCGTGTGAATGTGCATGCAAGAGGTGCATAAATATTACAAATATATACATAACATATATATATATATATTTGTGATAGATACTATGTGCAGAATTCAGTATTATTTTGCAGGTGATTGAGAGAAGAAACGATCGGTTCGTTTCTTTTTTCAATTAACATTTCGTTGTTTGTAGACCCCCTTCCTCTTCCTTAGAACATTAAACATACGAGAACTTTTGCCTCTGATTGCGATGTTCATCGTCTTTCGCCTTCTCGCGAAAAGCGACGCGCAAAGCTTCAAAGGAGGGAGAAGATGAGATGATTCTAATGTGCGTGAGAAAGAGAGAGAGAGAGAGAGAGAGAGAGAGAGATGTATGAAAGAGAGAGGGTGAGAAAGAGAGCGAGGAAACATATACAGGCACAGAGAAAAAGGAGCATTATCATTGTCGCATAGGGTGCGGATAGAGAGACGCGTATCGATTGGTTTCTTTATTAATACGAAAGAATAGATACTACGCTTTATCACATACGTTAGTTGAATTTAAACGAACGCATTGACTCATTTGCGTTGTGATGCTGTGTTAAGAGCGATATACATACATTAAGCAATATATATTAAACGGATACACATTAGACAGTTGCACAAACGAACGATGAATGCGAAAGAGAGTCTGAAGCAAGTTTGGGTAAAATTGTTTGTATTGTTTATTCGCTGGGTTTATATGTGTCAGGCTGGAGATAAGATATTCCAGCGTCAGTAATGATGATATATAGTAATGATATATCTTATTATAATTAATTTTGCATTAAACTATGTTATTTAAATGTGTCGTGATAGACACACGTGCACAAAGGAAAAAAACAGAGAGTATTATCTATTGTATCCGAATGTGTTGGAATCGCATACTTCGTTGGACGTTTTATAAATAACGCTGCATCATTGTTTTCATTATCTAGGGTGTTAGAAAAGAGGGTTCGAGACTTATAGGAGAGCGCATGTAGTATTCATTCAAAAGAAGCTCCCGCTTCTGACGAGATCGATTTTTCAAACCGTTCAGCATCTCTTACTCGGTTTAATGTAGTGTGAGTAGTTCATGTTTTAAAAACAACAAACAAATTCGAGTTCCGTTTTTTCTACATTTGTTAATTTAGAAATATCTAATTTTATATATATCTCGGTCTTTTTTATAAATCGCCGTCCTGCGAAAGGACAGCGTTTTATAAAATGGTTGAGCTTTTTATCAAATGAATATTAACATAGGCACAGGTGTGACGAATGGGACAAAATGTTTTTTTTTTCTTTGGGACTCCGATCACAATAAAGTCACCAGTTTTAAGTTCCTACAATACGAGGATGACTATAATACGACTTTCTACTGAATAAAAAGAAAACAGAAGTGGTATTATTTTACTTGTTGCGTAAGAGAAAGTAATGGACGGAGAAAAAAGAGAAAGGTAGAGAGGCAGAGTGAACAGGAAAATGAAAAAAATGAGAGAGAGAGAGAGAGAGAGAATGTGTGTATGTGTATGTGTGTATGACAGTGAGAAAGAAGGAGATGTACGTCTCCTCAAAATATTATTTTTAATTTTGTGTAATCTACAATTGTACATAAGATCAGAGATGAACGCGCTGTCGATTATTTATGCGTAATATATAGGTATACATACTTATATATACATATATTATATACATATACGTATATTTATCGATAACTGTGCGTCGCGACGAAATATTGTTCTTCGGATACAATCTTTAATCGGATGAGGAAAGAAAGTGAGGCGAGAAGTAAGACACAAATGACGAAGTAGGCGAGCACATTGTAAGGATACGCGATTTCTGTGTCGCGGTTACATCGTCGAAAGAAAAAAGGCAAAAAATGCAAAATGCGTTAAAAAAAACTCAAGATTATCGCAAAAAAAAAAAAAATACGTAAACGTAATTGACGTATCATTCGCGATCAACATTTGACGTTTGACGTCCGGTCTTTCGATAATCGCGGATGTTCCCGCCTCGCGTACGAGTCGAATAGAAAGGTCGAAGTCTCTCGCTCGCGGTATTCGAGATGTTCGAAAGATGGCGGTAAAACGCGCTCTCTCGAACGAGAATCTCTCCCGGAACTTCCCTTCCGAGGGAGACGTACCAACCAACGGCACACGGCTTACTTAATAAAGGCTCGGAGTTACCGGTAGCCCGTATGCGAACTCGCGTTTTCCGTGTGTGTTATCCCGCACAAGAAGAATCTATCTCTCTATCCTCTCCCCGGATGACTCTTCCGCGTCTCGCAATCCCCCTTCGCGTTTTATTATTTTCCATTCGATTCGTAAAGCGAATCTCGATGTCGCCGACACAGAAATCGCCGTTTCGAATCTCATCAAAGACT